GACCTTTCAGGAAATGATACACTCTTACTGTATCCATAGATGGCCTCTAAACACACTACGTACATTAATTTATTTAAATCTATATTATCTAAAAAAAGGTTTTATCAGATTTCACATTCGAGTAAATCTGTTGAAAAGTCACTACGAATTAACAAATTGCAAGAGTCAGGTGCCAGGAATGTGTAAAGTTTAAATAGCTATTAAAATATTAAATGCAAAACACGTGAGACATTTACGAATATAAATTTCCGACAATCAGTGACTAAAGTTTTCCAGGAATTACTCAAACTTGGAAATCCAAAGAAAGTCACGTGAAATTAATTAGTTATTTTACATAATGTTATTGGCAAACTTATCAGGTTGTTCCTAAAGCAGTAAGAATTCTGTAAAGCATTTTCTATTAAAAGGTTGTAATATTCTTTTGAATAACTAAATATTTTTTCCATTAAAAAAGTTGATAAAAAGAAATTAATTTAATTTAAAGTAAAAATGTAAATATGTTTCAGTAGTAATGTTAAAAATAACAAGGATTTAAGTCAGCTCGATGAATCTTGTGTTAGCAGAGAGAATAAGGGACATGCAAGATGAAGGGTTAACATCACAATTTTCCTATGACAAATTTACCATGCCAATGACATGACAATTGCTCAATCAGGAACACAATAAAGACAAATGACCATGCGTCAGACCGCGACGTGAGTTAAGTTTCCGTGAACTTTTCCTTGTGGCTGGCATCATCAGGAAATTAAAGATAAACATACCAAATCAATTTGAAACGGAAAATGATTAGACAAGATCTAACTTTAAGAACTGTAGTATTTTTTAAAAGTACTTTTATAAGTCAATTTTAAATATATATTGTGGGATAACAATTGCTTTGTGGTGGTATTGCTGTGATGGTAATATGAAACATCTTATGACTAGGGCATAGGATAGAACATGGACAATATAAAAAAGAAAATCTCTGTTACCATAACAAATTCTTTAAAAGCAAAATTTTATTTTGTTGTGATTCACACGACTTTCCCACATCCATATTGGGAACAGTAGTGATTTTGGCACACTGCCATATCTACAATAGGGATGGACAAAGCTGTTTATCTATCTTTCAACACTAACCCATAATATATTGTAGGTGCTCTTATAGTGTCAGTTAAATTTTATTTACAAACTCAAAGTTCATCCTAAGATTGTTATTGTTATTTATTTAAATCATTATATAATCATTAAATCAACAATAATGATAAAACTATATGAGCATACAGGGTTTTGTTAGAGATATTATGATTGTACAATGTACATATAATTAGTTATTATTGGAACAGAGGGCCCATGAGTATAGCATCTCTGACATTCTAATTTACATTAAAACACTTTTGTGTGACAAAAACTGTTACAAAAGGCTCTCTGTTATGAAGCATCAAGGGCCGAGGAATAAATAAATACAATACGGAATGAGGATGAAATCTTGCACTGACTTTAACCCATATTTTTAAAATATTTGTTTACCAAACAAACTTTATTAGTTTACCAAACAAACTTTAATTGTTTAACAAACAAAAACATTCTACAAAATATAGATTTTTATAAAAAACACCTTTGAATGTAAACAATTATTCTACAAGATGCCAACTATTTCATCATAAGCTATTTGATCTGGACATAATCGTAATTTACAATTGTTTTGAAGTACTCAAATATTGCATTAAAATAATAATTCTAAACTACAATATTGATCATGTATAGAAAGTAACTGCTCCATTTACATTAATATATATGACACTAGAAAGTTTATTTGTAATCAGTGATGTAAACATAAAAGTTACCATTATTAGTACATTTGTGTAAAGCAGTTTGAAGGTTTTTTATAAAAAAAATATAATTTGCATGCATCTCTAATATACTGTAAACTTTATATAACATTACTTAATTTAACATCAGACTCCGAAATGGTTAGATAATTGACCATATAAAACACAAACCCATTTGCCACTTATACTTACTTAAACTTATAAACCACCTAGTGTTTGAAAGTAACTTCTAATTTAACAAAATTTATAGAAACTGCCCCAGTGTACATTCTTTTTTTTTGCACATACATATTTACCTTAGCTACTAGACTGTTGTTAAGTTGTTTATATGCATTATCTGTATGTTATCATATTCCATAATGACAAATCTCTCTACAACCTGAAAATTTTCAGTCTCTTCAGCATCAGCAAAATTGAACTGATGTGTTTTACTGATTAAAAATAACAAACAAACATTACTTAGTAAAACTTAGTTACACTGACTTTTATGTGTAATCCCATTTAAGAATTTTGGTACTAATAATTGACAAAGCAGGCTGTAAAAAATGTAATCACAAAAATTATGCTCATATTGTTATAATTGTTTTAATAAGATAAATGGAGATTTTAAGTAAAATAATAGTTGTAAAAATAGCAAAACTCAGTTCTATACAGCAACATTTGGTATGCATCACATTCTTCCAGTTCAAACTAATAATCTAACAGATACCCTGTCAATTTACTGTAATAGAACTAAATTACTAGTGACATCACAAGATTACCAATTGCTAACATACAACAATGAACTCAGTAAAGTATTGTAATAATAACGAAACTTTTGTAGCAGTTAAGTTCAATACCTCAATAGTTCTGACTAATGTGGTATTAATCTGTACATATGTAGGAATTGAGACAATACAGAATTAAATAGCCTCTAAATAATTGTTAAAGTACTCCTTAAATACAATTTTAGAACTTACCTAATTTCTTCTATTTCAATACACGCTGTAATATACACTATATTGTTTTTAAGAGTCACCAAAAAACCACTTTTTCACTAATACACTTCAAAATCCATAAGCCAAGACAGCTGGTACCTTTTAAAGGGACATAAAAAATATTTTTTTAAATAAAAATACGGTTAATATCGATTATCGAGTTAGGTAACGACTAACGATACAGTCAGTTATTTCAAGGATATAAAAATTAAAGACGGATTTAAATTTTCATCAAATTTTTCTGGGAATGTGGAATCGAAAAACGCAAAATGGACAATTAATAACTCATATAACATATTAGAATTTTTGGCAGTGACAGTTGACATTAGCAGTCATTTATATAGATTTAAAATTCTAGAACATGAATAAGCTAAGCATTGAAACCGCGCTAAATGAGCTATAAAACGAAGAAATATGTTGGTCCTCTATCCCAATCGATTTACTAACCCAGATTAATATACAGGGGGATAGCTTGTACTCGGTTAAGTACCTCCACAAAACATGAGGTCCATATATAAGGCCGCCTGTAAAGGTGACAGGATCAGATTAGTAAAAAAAAAATAGACCATCAGAAATTCCCGAGCGCATCAGATTAAGGTAGGGTGAGTTAATTACATCCTAAAAAGTGTATATTCCACTAATCTGACAATTTGAGAGTGACGTAAAGAAAGGGGAGGGCAACAAAGTTGTAAAAAAAAACGTCATCTCGACATTCGCGAGCGTAGCTAAATTTTTTTTTTTTTTTCATTTTCAACCCTTAAATACAACCACCCGCATCATGCAAACGATCAGATTAACATACGTACATTATTAAAAATACTAGGGTATAGATGCTATCAATATCTGACGCCCAGGATGTCCATCATCAGTTTTTTTTACATATTTAACTATCTATAGCCGCTTCCCCCACCATGAAAAGGAATTTATCATATAACATTTTTTTCTTCTTATTATCTAAGCTTTGCATCCCAATAGGTCTCTACGACGCTCGAGTAAATCCCCATTTAGCATCGTGGGCTCCCCTACCATATTTTCTAACGCCAATCGCCATCCATAACACCAAACAAAAACAACAGCGTTTGTCGACTGACGAATTTTAATTTACGTAAATAGGCAGTAGTTATCTTCCGGCTTAGTATCGTTCTTTGTCGACATTTTTTATCGAGAAAATTCAATATCGAGCTGTATAGTAAGTTTTAGTTCGTAGTATTTTTTTTGTTATTTACAGAATTCCTCATATTACTATCATTAAATTCTGTACTGAGTTTAAGTGAAAAGTATGGTTCAATCGGTTTTCATTGGACCTGTATCTTCGTTTGACCTAGAGCTTTAAGCAAGTTTAACCAAATATAAAGGCAAGTAAAATATAGGTAGTGACCAAATTTCTCAACAAAAACGGAAAACGTAAATTACGACAGTTTTCGATTATTTGTTTATTACAACAACTTTAACAATTATATAATTGTGGAAACTTATTATAGTTTCTTTATTATTGCGTTTCAACCTGTATGGTATTTCTACCAAATAATATAAATAGGATTTATTGAACACACAAGATGATTAATTTAATTTTTTTCAGATTCGAGCAATACTTTCTTAAATATTAATTTATTTTATGTAAACATTAACAAAATTTCGTGAATGACATCTTATCGTCTTAAAAATAATGACCAAATGACGTTTTTATTTTGAGACCCGTATTCTAGAAAAATATGCGAAAACCGCTGTGTGAGTTCGAAAAGTGAGTTACAGAATCGCATGGCAGTAATAAACAACAAAGTGACCCCCTTGCGTCTTTGGACTCGCGCCCCACAGACCGAAGAGAAAAAAAGTACATAATGTGATGTATATACATGCAAATATAGCCATACTAGCCTTGCCATAATATAGTCAAATTTGGCCTAAAGGTAGGCTAGATACCAGGCCATAAACTCCAAAAATAAAGTCAAAAATAAAATTACAAATTTGGCTTGTAATTTAAATTTCGAATTTATTGTGTAAATTTATTCTAATCTATGGAGAAATATAGTTTTTAATCTATGTCCCCAAAATTAATAATATAATGATTGTCTTTGGGAATACCTAATCTTAGTAGTGAAGGCGAATTACTGTCCATGCCATTATTCTTTAAAAATAATTTTGCAATTTTACAAGAGGTTATATTGTATAAAACGCTTGAGGTCACATTAAATTTAAAAAGTTATAAATCATAATGCTCGTGGAGTTGCCTGATGACAACGAACAAAGTGATAGCGGGATGGAATCTTTGACGGCTAGCAAAGATGATACTCCAGAACGTAGACCCGAAGATACCTTCATTACCCCTGCGGTATATAATCATTTATAAAAAAGTATTTATTGAAAGTATTGAATAAATAATTTTTGACTTTTTTATAATCAAAATTTCCTGATTACAGTTGGGGACCTCTCCTACTGCAAGTAATCCAACCTTTCTGTCGCTCAAAGAATATGATGATGTGAGTAGTTTCCTTTTAGTTAACCTATTTCCAATCACAATTCTTAGCTACAATGTTAATTTTTTTAGGAACCAGATGAAACCCTCACAGAGAGATTATGGGGATTGACAGAGATGTTTCCAGATTGTGTTCGCAGTGGTACTTACACGGTTACTACAAAGACTTGGTAAATAATTGTAAATTGTAATTTACTTACATTAATACTATTTTAATTACTAATATAGTAGATATAATTTATTATGTATACACTTATAAGGGTTTAAAGTAATTGTGCAAGGAAAATAACTATTCATTCACATTTATCTATAGCTTAATTTTATTTTTATTTTAGTGCAATGTTTTTATGCAATTGTATATTTTAGGTCAGGGGTAAAGAACATGTATCAATTGTCTCGATCATTAATGTGGGTAGTGGCTAGTTCATCAGTTATCTTATTTGCTCCAGTAATATTTGAAGTTGAACGGGCCCAAGTAGAGGAAATGCAAAAGTCACAACAGAAACAGGTTTGTCCAAATAAATTGTTGCATACAATCATAATGTGTTATTGTATAGTTTTAGAATCAATGATTAGTTGTTTAAGTGTAAATAGCTAACAACTATGTTACAGCTATATTGTATTTAATATGAAGTATTAATTTACAAACTTCCATTTGAAACAAATTCTGTCCAGTAACTATTAAATTTTGGATATTTTTTCAGGTCTTATTGGGGACTAACACATCAATGACAGGACCTATGCCAAGCATGCCTCCAATGCCTCGATAAAACCATATATAACTATAGATTTCACTTAGTTCTGTTATTATACCTACATATTATGGATTACTACATATAAATGCTTTAATTATAGTTTATTGAGGTAACAAATATTTGTTTCATGAAAATAGGACTACAATGTTTAAGTAGTATTTTTTTGGAACTCTGAAACTGGTTATCAGTTAAATATGCATTTCATATTTTCTATTAATTTACTTGTGTCTTGATGACAAGTATACTTTTGATTTTGAGAATGTAGATATTGTTTTGTTAATACTTACCTAATAGAGGAATTAAAATCTAATAAAAATTGTTTCATTTTTATGGTACCTCCTCAAACACTATTCCTATAATCAATAATGACCACTGATCCTTTTTATTGGACAATATATTAAAAAATGTCTCTAGACAGTTTATATTGATACAATATCTAATCATAACCAATTTATATAATATGTTAGTAAAAGATTTAATTCTTTATGCAATTTATTTAGTGTTTTTCGGAATTCTCAGTTATTAGTAAATTCTATTCAAAAATACACTCATCTTAAAATATTTATTTTATGGATGTATTTCAGATATTTTTTTTTATTTTCCAAGTATCACGTCCACATTCATTTCAAAAGTAATATATAATAACCTGCATTTTTTTACATAATATATTAGAACAGTTATCACAGATTTAGAGTAGTATATTCTGTGGTAATCATAAATCATTAAACAGACTAGATTTGATAAATATATGTCAATGTCAAAACTCAAAGGTAATTTTTTTATATTTATCCACTAGTGTCGATACCAAATATTTTAATTTACGAAACTGCAAATTAAACAAAAACCAATGTAAAAATGGCAAATACAGGCTTACTGCCATTCGTACGTGGAGTCGACTTTACATGCAACGACTTTAGCGTAAGTAAATTACAAATCTGAAATCTATATAGATGATGTCATGTTATTAACCCAGGGGATTTTCTGGTGTTTCTTTCTAGGAAGGCAAATTTCCAGATGCTATTCGATACATGACCGGTCTACAATGGCTTCGATTGGATAAAACAAATATAGCAGATATTCCAGAGGAATTAGGAAAACTTCTAAAATTGGTAATTTTTCATAGTTTAATTTTATTACAATTTACCAGTAGTCAATTAATTTATAGCAATGAAAATTATATAAAATCACTTAAAAGTTTTGTTACATATAGAAAAATACCAATAAAGCTATGTTCTTGGTCTATTCATTATACTTCCGATATTGTGTTTCAGGAAAATTTGTCTCTCAAGAAAAATCAATTAGAAAAGCTCTTTGGAGAATTAACAGAGTTGAAATGTTTACGTTCATTAAATGTGAGACACAATAAAGTTAAAAGTTCAGGTATCCCTGCTGAGTTGTTTCAATTAGAGGAGTTGACCACTCTTGATCTATCTCATAACAGATTGAAGGAAGTTCCTGAAGGCTTAGAAAAAGCTAAATCTCTACTTGTATTAAATCTTAGTAACAACAAGTAAGAATAATTTTTAGCTTTGAAAAACTATATGTGTAACATAGTGTTAGCCAATAACAATTGTGTAACAATTTTAGCCAATTTTAGTAATAGGTGTACTGTACCGGTGTATTTATAAAAACTGTATTTTACTTTCAGGATAGAGAGTATACCGCCTACACTCTTTGTTCAGTTAACAGATCTATTGTTTCTGGATTTATCTAACAACCTTTTGGAGACATTGCCCCCTCAGACTAGAAGACTGGTGAATCTGCAGACTCTTATACTTAATGATAATCCCCTTGGGCTATTCCAGTTGAGGTAATATTGTAGACAAATTGAAATTCGCATTGTATTACAAATCACATATAAAGTTAAATCAAAATTAATATTTTTGTTTTTCAAATGTATTGTCAGGGCAGACTGTTTTTTTTGCCTTTCCCATGTTATTTTTGTTAAGAAAGTTTTAGTATGTAAGTTAAATTGGCCGATACGGTTATGTATGCGACAAATAAAGAGCTCATTAATTTAAAAGCAATAACAGCTAGAAAAATTAATTTAATAATCTAAGGTTGAACTATTTTTTTCTAAGTTGGGTGCTGAATATATTTAGCTTTTTGCACTAACTCATTAAGTAAACAATTGTTTAACAAACTTATACACAAACTAATTTATCCATTGTGCTTACAGACAGTTGCCATCGCTGCAAAGCTTGGAAACACTTCACATGAGAAACACACAGAGGACTGTTGCGAATCTCCCAACATCACTGGATACACTATGCAATCTATCTGATGTAGACCTGTCCAAAAATGCATTAACAAAAGTGCCAGATGCACTCTATTCTCTACAGAATTTAAAAAGACTAAATCTTAGCGACAACGAGATCAGTGAGATATCATCAGGTTGGTACTACAAATGATTAAAACATCTATTTGGACTAAAACAAGAGTATTTCAAAATTTTAATCTAAATATAAAACATATCTTAGTCAAGAATAGATAAGTTTTGCATCATAATCCACAACTTCTTGAACTTGGCCAATTGGCACCCCCCATTCTCAAAAAAAAAAATTCAGCTATGTGTTATACCCATTTACTTACAGCTTGTAACTAGTAGAAGTGTTTTCAATATCTTATTAAAATTCCTTTCAGCAATGGATATATGGCAAAAACTAGAAAGTTTCAATTTATCTCGCAATAAACTAACGGCATTACCAGCCTCACTTTGCAAGTTACAAAACCTTCGGAGACTACATGTGGATGACAATAAGTTAGACTTCGAAGGTATACCATCCGGTATTGGAAAGCTTGGAGCCTTAGAGGTGTTCTCAGCTGCTAATAACTTACTTGAAATGATACCAGAAGGTCTTTGCAGGTAGATATATGTTTTATTTTTTTCAACAAATTGATTTATTTTGTGTATATATATATATATATGAAATACCTACAAATCTTGTGCTTTCTGTAATTAAATTTTAATTCGTCAATAGCATTGGCAATATTGTGCCTTTAGACAAGTTCACAATCAATATTAGCTGAATCTTGTATGATGTTCCGTAACAAACATGTGCCATAAAAGTTCTGTTTAATTGATAATGTTACGTAGGTGTTCAGGCACAGAAGGCTAATCACCTACTTACCTATTATAAAAAGTGTGCTATGTGTGTGCATGATTTCAGACTTGAGACACCCTCAACAATTACGCTAATAGTGCGTTGAATAATTATTGCTTTATTATATTAAAAAAATAACAAATACACCATTTATTCTTATGTACACTTATCAAAGTCAATTTAAATAATTGGTAGAAAATTTCATTTGAAAATTCAATTTGAAATCAGTGTGGTCCCTCTTTGCAGGTGTGGATCTTTAAAAAAATTGAACCTGAGCTGTAACAAGCTAATCACTCTACCTGATGCAATCCATCTGTTATCTGACTTGGAGAGCTTACAATTACATGGCAACCCTGACTTGGTCATGCCCCCGAAGCCGGTTGAAAGAGCCAAAGGATCTGGACTCCAGTACTATAATGTGGACTTCTCTTTGCAAACGCAACTGCAGTTGGCTGGAGCCGCTACTCCTGAGATGAGTGCACCAAATTGTAAGTTTGTTTATACGATATTCTACTTTCCTGTTAAGTATTATATTTATAAATATTAATGGATAGCATAAGTGGTCATTTTTTTATATGTTTAAATACCTTTATCTTCTTAATATATATAAATTACGTGTCACGTTGTTTGTCCGCTATGGACTCCTAAACTACTGAACCGATTTCAATCAAATTTGCACATCGTGTGCAGTTTGATCTAACTTAAAAGATAGGATAGCTTACATCTCAATTTATACCCGCAATATTATTTTATTGCAAATATTTCTTTATTATTTGATAGACACAATTCTAACAGATGTTGCTGTCTTGGAAGTACCAACGTTTCTCATAAGCTACAATTTAATGTCATAGCTACCAAAAAAGCATGGTGATCCCCATGACTGTTGTTTTCCTGCCGTTTCCTTTGAATAGTATACTACTATGTAATATAACAAAAGCCACAGCAACACTTGGCCGAGTCTGCTAGTTATTTATAAATATTAATGGATATCATGGCTGGTAATTTCTTTAAATTTTTAAATTAATTTTGCAGATCTATATAAAATAATTCTAAGAGTATGATTCAAAGTTACATATGGAACTCATAGTGCAAACCAATCTTCCGTATGTCAAAATGAAATAAGTTTTTGACACGGGAAGCATACACACTACGCAGTCTGGACTATCAATCTTTAAATATGCTTTTAAGTATGCTTAATAGTAGATTCAAAATCCTTATGTGTGTGTGTTGTAATAGGCAATTGCCACGCCCTCTCGAATAAATCAATGACCTTGTTTTTCGAGATATATCGTAATCATACAAAAGATGCCTTTTATAATTGATATACAGCTCGGTAACCCTCAGCTAGGGATGTGACATTCTCCATAAAAAAACTATTTTTTATTAATTGATTGTTTTTTTAGCATGAAAAATAATCGATTTTTTCCTAATTTTTGAATTAATTTCAAAATAAACACCCAAATATTTTATATTTCATGTTTTATTAACTAAAAATAAACAATATAAATTATAAACACAAATTAACGTTTAAGAATAATCAAAATCAAAATTAACCTAATCTCGTTTTGATAGATTTTAGGTGAAATTTGATAGATGCTGAGTGTGTGCCTTTTCAGTATTTTTGTTGTCTTTTTTATTGTATGTAACCTTGTGCTGCTGAATAAATTTATTTTACTTTTAAATTATAGTGTTCCATTCATACTTGAGTTTTTGTAAAATTAACTGGTTTCGATGTTTTAGAAAAAAACATCAATGCATCGAGTATATCAATACATCTTCAAAGCATCGGATTCAATGTATCGCATTGAAAACATCGATGTATATCGAATATCCCTAATAGTTCGAGGTCCGGGTTATAAAAGACCAGACATAATGTCGGGAGGTGGTGATGATCGACTATGATTGATTTTC